GGTCAGGGTCGAGAAGACACAAGACGACGAGGCGAAGGAGACACGCACGGACACCCCTGAGAAAACGCCCGGAGAAAACTCGCGTAGCCGGCGAGAAATGGCAGCAGCCCGCCGCGCACGAAACTCCGGCAGAGGCCCTCCAGCCCCCCCCCCGCCGCCTCCGCTCCTGCCCGCGTGAATTCCGCGCCCGAGCCGCGCCTGCCGTCGTTCGTTCGCGAGGTGTCGACGGACATCGGCGGTTGCCTTACAACGCGGAGACGGTCAAGAGCCTGCCTCGATTACGGGATCTCTCACGCACGCACGCACGCGCGCGCGCGCGCACACGAACACGCACGCACGGAGGCGCACGCGCGAGCGCACACCGAAAGCTTGTCTGAGTCCGCGTAAATGAACACAAAATAAATATATAATCGTGCAGAAAATAAACGCGCGGGAATTTAATCCATGGGATTATTTTTTCCGTTGCGCTCGCCGGCGGGAGGCTGCTGCTGGGGAGACGGTGGCGGGGGGGGGGAGCCACGGAACGTGTTTGTTCCGTGGCGTCGTTCCGCGCGGCCGTGTGATTTATTTTCCATTCGACCGCCACCTGCTCCTCCTGCTCCTCCTGGCATTTACTCGGCACATCTTCCAGTGGCGCAGCGTCCTCACTGTGCACACCGACCCCGCGAGACTCCGAGATTTCGTCCAGGAATTTGACCAAATAACGAGGGCGGCGGCGGTTCGCCGTTTATCAACATAAATAAATGTGCATTTATATCTTGGGACATTTGTTTGTTGCAATATACTCTTACGAGCCCTCTCGCGTTTGTCTTGATTGTTGTCCAATTAATGTTAGTGTCCGAATACGGGGATTTCTCCAGAATAAAAATCGCTTGCGTTTCCCTCTTTTTTTTCGCGCGTCCATCTGGTTCTCACCCTCGCTCTCTCTCTCACTCACGCTCTCTCGCACTCTCTGTCCCTGGCTGTATCTTCCTCCCCGCTCTTTATGCCTCCTTCCCCGCCACCCCGCTTCGCTTGCCTTGTCAACCCCCGCGGGCTCCCGGGGTATGATGGATGGCGTCCCAGAGAGAAACCTGACCCAGTTTTTCTGAAGGTCAGCGCGTGGTGAAGGCACCGGAAAATGTTTCCCTTTGGCTGGACCACCACGGGACGGACACCTGCCACCCACGCGCTCCGCGGGGTGATCACACAACCGGCATGTTGCTTTGGAGCAATCGAAATCCCTAACCAGAATTCGTTTTAAATTTTTTTATTTGAATTTTTTTGTTTTGTTTTACTAAATCACTGCTCTGCCCCGCGAATCCGTTTTCTCTTTCCGCGCGAAGTTGCTTAATTGGGTCTCCTTGTTAACGAGACGATTGCCCACGGACGGAAGATTACCTACGGATGGTACGGGCGCAGGTGATGCTGCTGCATTGGTCTTGGAGGAGACGATCGTACCGCCAGCGATCTGTCCCCCCACCGCCCCCAGCAGCCTCCGCCACCACCTCCACCATCACAACCCACCGGCCTACACTATACACCCTACACCATACACGATACACCCTGCACCATACACCCTACACCATACACGATACACCCTACACCATACACTATACACCCTACACTATACACCATACACTATACACCCTAAACCATCCACCCTCCACCTTACACCTTCATACACCCTAATCCTACACCTTCACCATACACCCTACATCCTACACCACCACCTCCACCCTTCACCACCTCCACCCTACACCACACACCACCTCCACCAGACACCCTACACCACACACCCTAACCCTCCACAATGCGACATACACCATCACATCCACCCTACACCACCACCTCCACCCTACACCACACACCACCTCCACCAGACACCCTACACCACACACCCTAACCCTCCACAATGCGACATACACCATCACATCCATATGAAATATACGCCGTGACGTTAGCCTGCCGCCCGTGTGCGTGCGTATACACAGTATAGAGTAAATATACACACATTGTGCATTCTGTACACATTACATGTTTACTTTGTACACCATTGTCCCTGTATATATCAATTCGCCAGTCCACTCTACACACATATTTATATTACATTGTTTTTAAATCCAAATCAAAGGACCACCGCAGTTTGTCGCTGTTTTGCATTTCGTAAAACGCGTGCCGTAAAAACGCCGTTCACCCCCCCCCCACCCTCCTTTTTAGCCATCGCTCGCCCTCGATTTCCCCGCATCAAACGATTTGTCCCCTTCCTCTGTTCCTCTGCGGCGGAGCTACGCGGGGGCGTCAGGCACCCACCGCACCCCACCGCGGTGAACAACGGCACGGCCGCCCGCCCGCCCGCCCGCTCGCTCGCCTCCTCCTCCTCGGCAGCGGCCACCGCCGCTTTGTAGCGCGGCCCCAGCGCCGCCACGGCGCCTTTCATCGGTGGCGCAAAGCCGCCTCCGATGAGCGCCACAGAACGATGCAAACGCCTCCGCGTTGGCGCACAGTCGCCGCAGACCGCGCGGCGTTTTCGCAACCCACCCCCCCCCCCCCGACGGCGCTGAGCGAGCGAGCGAGGCCGGACTGCGTGAGTGTGAATGTCGCGACGTGAGTGTGAATGTCGCGACGTGAGTGTGAATGTGGCGACGTGAGTGTGAACGTCGCGACGTGAGTGTGAATGCCGCGACGTGAGTGTGAATGTGGCGACGTGAGTGTGAATGTCGCGACGTGAGTGTGAATGTCGCGACGTGAGTGTGAATGTCGCGACATGAGTGTGAATGTCGCGACGTGAGTGTGAATGTGACGACGTGAGTGTGAATGTCGCGACGTGAGTGTGAATGTCGCGACGTGAATGTGAATGTCGCGACGTGAATGTGAATGTCGCGACGTGAGTGTGAATGTCGCGACGTGTGTGTGAATGTCGCGACGTGAGTGTGAATGTCGCGACGTGAGTGTGAACGTCGCGACGTGAGTGTGAATGTCGCGACGTGAGTGTGAATGTCGCGACGTGAGTGTGAATGTCGCGACGTGAGTGTGAATGTCGCGACGTGAGTGTGAATGTCGCGACGTGAATGTCGCGACGTGAGTGTGAATGTCGCGACGTGAGTGTGAACATCGCGACGTGAGTGTGAACGTCGCGACGTGAGTGTCGCGACGTGAGTGTGAACGTCGCGACGTGAGTGTGAATGTCGCGACGTGAGTGTGAATGTCGCGACGTGAGTGTGAATGTCGCGACGTGAGTGTGAACGTCGCGACGTGAGTGTCGCGATGTGAGTGTGAACGTCGCGACGTGAGTGTGAACGTCGTGACGTGAGTGTGAATGTCGCGACGTGAGTGTCGCGACGTGAATGTCGCGACGTGAGTGTGAATGTCGCGACGTGAGTGTGAATGTCGCGACGTGAGTGTGAATGTCGCGACGTGAGTGTGAACGTCGTGACGTGAGTGTGAACGTCGCGACGTGAATGTGAATGTCGTGACGTGAGTGTGAATGTCGCGACGTGAGTGTGAATGTCGCGACGTGAGTGTGAATGTCGCGACGTGAGTGTAAACGTCGCGACGTGAGTGTGAATGTCGCGACGTGAGCGTGAATGTCGCGAAGTGAGCGTGAACGTCGTGACGTGAGTGTGAATGTCGCGACGTGAATGTGAATGTCGCGACGTGAGTGTGAATGTCGCGACGTGAATGTGAATGTCGCGACGTGAGTGTGAACGTCGCGACGTGAGTGTGAATGTCGCGACGTGAGTGTGAATGTCGCGACGTGAGTGTGAATGTCGCGACGTGAATGTGAATGTCGCGACGTGAGTGTGAACGTCGCGACGTGAGTGTGAATGTCGCGACGTGAGTGTGAATGTCGCGACGTGAGTGTGAATGTCGCGACGTGAGTGTGAATGTCGCGACGTGAGTGTGAATGTCGCGACGTGAGTGTGAACGTCGCGACGTGAGTGTGAATGTCGCGACGTGAGTGTGAATGTCGCGACGTGAGTGTGAACATCGCGACGTGAGTGTGAACGTCGCGACGTGAGTGTCGCGACGTGAGTGTGAACGTCGCGACGTGAGTGTGAATGTCGCGACGTGAGTGTGAATGTCGCGACGTGAGTGTGAATGTCGCGACGTGAGTGTGAATGTCGCGACGTGAGTGTGAATGTCGCGACGTGAGTGTGAATGTCGCGACGTGAGTGTGAATGTCGCGACGTGAGTGTGAATGTCGCGACGTGAGTGTGAATGTCGCGACGTGAGTGTGAATGTCGCGACGTGAGTGTGAATGTCGCGACGTGAGTGTGAATGTCGCGACGTGAATGTCGCGACGTGAGTGTGAATGTCGCGACGTGAGTGTGAACATCGCGACGTGAGTGTGAACGTCGCGACGTGAGTGTCGCGACGTGAGTGTGAACGTCGCGACGTGAGTGTGAATGTCGCGACGTGAGTGTGAATGTCGCGACGTGAGTGTGAATGTCGCGACGTGAGTGTGAACGTCGCGACGTGAGTGTCGCGATGTGAGTGTGAACGTCGCGACGTGAGTGTGAACGTCGTGACGTGAGTGTGAATGTCGCGACGTGAGTGTCGCGACGTGAATGTCGCGACGTGAGTGTGAATGTCGCGACGTGAGTGTGAATGTCGCGACGTGAGTGTGAATGTCGCGACGTGAGTGTGAACGTCGTGACGTGAGTGTGAACGTCGCGACGTGAATGTGAATGTCGTGACGTGAGTGTGAATGTCGCGACGTGAGTGTGAATGTCGCGACGTGAGTGTGAATGTCGCGACGTGAGTGTAAACGTCGCGACGTGAGTGTGAATGTCGCGACGTGAGCGTGAATGTCGCGAAGTGAGCGTGAACGTCGTGACGTGAGTGTGAATGTCGCGACGTGAATGTGAATGTCGCGACGTGAGTGTGAATGTCGCGACGTGAATGTGAATGTCGCGACGTGAGTGTGAACGTCGCGACGTGAGTGTGAATGTCGCGACGTGAGTGTGAATGTCGCGACGTGAGTGTGAATGTCGCGACGTGAATGTGAATGTCGCGACGTGAGTGTGAACGTCGCGACGTGAGTGTGAATGTCGCGACGTGAGTGTGAATGTCGCGACGTGAGTGTGAATGTCGCGACGTGAGTGTGAATGTCGCGACGTGAGTGCTCCACGTCCCCCTTTTAATGAAAAACTCCGAGCGAGATGACCCCGACGAGATGTGGATGTTGGATATAGATGTCGCGACGTGAGAGCAATGTTGACCAAGAAGAAGAAGATGGGTAGATGTGCAATGGGATGAGAGAGGGGTATAGACGAGGCAGAGGGATGACAGATTGTCGATTAACATTCACTATCTTTTTTTATCGATTTAAAGCTTTCGTGACTGCAGGGATTCATCTTCTTGGTTCTTTCGGTAAAGTCAAATAATAATAATAAAACATAATAAAATTCTCACGACGTTTCGGCCAAAACACAAGTAGCCGTCCACAGGTGAAGAAACAGAACTGTCGGGAAGACAGCGCTCCCAAGAAGATTCATTATCTTGCTACGTTGAATAGCATCTGAACTCGAGCTGAAATTTGGGTGCATCTCCGTTTATTCAGGAATGACCCCTTGCGCAGCTTGGGGGCCCTAAACTTTTGCTTTGTTCGCTTGGGGCCTCCCGCCACCAGCGCGTCCCAACGCAAACCCCCCCCCCCCCCCCCCGGCGTTCGTTTTTTCCGCCTTCGATGGCCGCGGCGGATGTCCCGGGCTTCTCCTGCCCGCGTCAGCCGACGGCAAAGTCCATCGGGCCAGCGTCAGACGTCGTCCAGGACGCCCAGGGCCTCGACGGCGTCACTGGGGCCTTGGCTGACGCCGCCCACGAGCAGCAGGCGCCCGTCCAGAGCGACGCACGAGCAGGAGCAGCGCGGCGTGGGCATGGAGGCGAGCGACTCCCAGCGGCCCCGCTCCGGGTCCAGGCCCTCCACGGACGCCAGCGGGGACGTCTGGTTGCCTGGCGCCGTGCCAGGCCAAGCCGTGCCGTGCCAGGCCAAGACGTGCCGTGCCAGGCCAAGCCGTGCCAAGCCGTGCCAGGCCGTGCCAGGCCGGGCCAGGTCGGGCAGGGTACGCGGCGGGGAGAGAGGAACGGCGACGTCGTGGTTAGTCGGGTCACAGAGCGACGACATCGAACCGGGTGGCTCGGCCGTTGAGCCGGCTGCTAATCGGAAGGTTCACGTTTGTGCGCTGTAACGTCGTTACCCGCCCACTACTGGACGTCTGTGAACAAAAGAGCTTGAGAGGTTTGTCGGATTACTCCAGGAGGAATGTTATGATTCTGAAATTCTGGTTGGGGGTTCACTCGGCCTCCACCATCACTCCGGGGTCGATAAAAAAATGTACCACGTTGTGGGGACGTCAACAGTTGTTGTTCCGTAGGTAAATAGGAATAGGACATTTACATCACTCACGGGGGGGCTGTGAACGGGGGCTGGGCACCGCTGCAATGCTCATTGGAAGAGGGAATCACGCCGACTCTGAGAGATAAACATTCTATTAAATATGCAATTAACCTTCTTTGCTGGGTGTGTTAAAAACGCGTCTGTGCGGATAAAGAGGCCTATTGAAGGGCCTTCAGAACTACTTCTATGACATCAACTTCCAGGGGACGTTCGCTCGCACAGGGCAGTTGCCACTGATTCCGGGGAGAGATTTGGTTTTTTTTGGAACGGGGATTATTCCGTCCCATGACACGATGCCACTCGACGACGTATAGCTGCTGACGATGATGATGATGAAGCGAGCCCTAAAGACCGCGTCCGATTATGCCGAGGTCTCTCGCTGACCTGGGTGGCACCTCGCGCCCGCCCTCACCCATCCTGGATCACCCGACTCGCCGCTGACGCCTCCTGCTGCTGCTGCTGTCAGCGAGGCTCGGGACGAGGTCGCACGCAGAGGACATCGCGAGCCAACGCCGCGGAACTCGACTGTCCAAGCGAATTGACGACGATTATAACGGTAGCGCAATTGGCCGAAGAGCTAGAGGCGCAGCACCTGCCAGAGCTCGCTCACGCCACTGCTGGCCGGAAGGGCCTCCACTTAGCGAGGAGCTCTGGAGGGGGAGCTCTGGAGAGACCCCTCCAGAGACAGCAGTCGTCAGGTGCCCCCCACACCCCCCCCCCCCCCCGGGGTTAAAGAGAGAAAAGCTACACCCGGGCATCGGAACGACCGAGGTGTGTGACGGCCGAGGTGTGTGACGCACGTGGTGTGTGACGCACGAGGTGAGTGACGCACGAGGTGTGTGACGCACGTGGTGTGTGACGCACGTGGTGTGTGACGCACGTGGTGTGACGGCCGAGGTGTGTGACGCACATGGTGTGTGACGCACGTGGTGTGTGACGGCCGAGGTGTGTGACGCACGTGGTGTGTGACGGCCGAGGTGTGTGACGCACGTGGTGTGTGACGCACGTGGTGTGTGACGGCCGAGGTGTGTGACGCACGTGGTGTGTGACGGCCGAGGTGTGTGACGGCCGAGGTGTGTGAGTGACGCACGAGGTGTGTGACGCACGAGGTGTGTGACGACCGAGGTGTGTGACGGCCGAGGTGTGTGACGCACGTGGTGTGACGGCCGAGGTGTGTGACGCACGTGGTGTGTGACGGCCGAGGTGTGTGACGCACGTGGTGTGTGACGCACGTGGTGTGTGACGGCCGAGGTGTGTGACGCACGTGGTGTGTGACGGCCGAGGTGTGTGACGGCCGAGGTGTGTGAGTGACGCCCGAGGTGTGTGACGCACGTGGTGTGTGACGGCCGAGGTGTGTGACGCACGTGGTGTGTGACGGGCGAGGTGTGTGACGGCCGAGGTGTGTGAGTGACGCACGAGGTGTGTGACGCACGAGGTGTGTGACGACCGAGGTGTGTGACGGCCGAGGTGTGTGACGCACGTGGTGTGACGGCCGAGGTGTGTGACGGCCGAGGTGTGTGACGGCCGAGGTGTGTGAGTGACGCACGAGGTGTGTGACGCACGAGGTGTGTGACGCACGTGGTGTGTGACGACCGAGGTGTGTGACGGCCGAGGTGTGTGACGGCCGAGGTGTGTGACGCACGAGGTGTGTGACGCACGTGGTGTGTGACGACCGAGGTGTGTGACGCACGTGGTGTGACGGCCGAGGTGTGTGACGCACGTGCGTCGCAAGTCGCGCACCGCGTGCGAAGCGCTCCGAGATGACCGCGGCGTTAAGGGGCGGCGCCTCGATCAGAAACAAATCACGGCCAGTGCTGTTCATCATCCCGTAGCGCGATTGGCATGTGCTGCGATTCTCGACGTGTGAACAGGCGGTGGTGGTGGTGGTGAAGGAGGAGGAGGAGGAGCCGGTGGCGGTAGTGGTGAAGGAGGAGGAGGGGCAGGAGGAGGAAGAGGAGCCGGTGGTGGTGGAGGGGGAGGATGCGGCCTCGACACTTCACGTGGCCTCAAAGTGCACCTGGCCTGGCACAGGCGCCGTGGTGACGTCACCGTCACTTAGTGGCGAATGGTGTGTGTGTGTCGGTATTGGACGAGGATGAGGAGGGGAGGAGGAGGGGAGGAGGAGGAGGGGGAGGAGAGAAACTCACCGAGTCCGCCGATGGCCAAGACGCGGCCACCCAGAAACCCGGCGACAAAGTCGGCCCGGCGCTCGCGCATGCTGCGGGCTCGCGTCGACCTCACCCAACCGCCTGGGCACACAGACACACAGACACAGACACACACATAGACACACAGACACACAGACACATAGACACACAGACACACAGACACATAGACACACAGACACATAGAGACACAGACACACAGACACATAGACACACACACATAGACACACAGACACACAGACACAGACACATAGACACACAGACACACATAGACACACAGACACATAGACACACAGACACAGACACATAGACACACAGACACATAGACACACATAGACACACAGACACACAGTCACACACACACACAAACAAACACACAGACACATAGACACACAGACACACAAACACACAGACACACAGACACATAGACACACAGACACACACACATAGACACACAGACACAGACACATAGACACAGACACACAGACACACAGACACACAGACACACAGACACATAGACACACAGACACATAGAGACACAGACACATAGAGACACAGACACACAGACACAGACACACATACACACATACACACATACACATAGACACACACAGACACACAGACACACAGACACATACACACAGACACACAGACACAGACACACAGAGACACAGACACACACACAAACACACAGAGACATAGACACACAAACACACACAGACACACAGACACATACACACAGACACACAGACACAGACACACAGAGACACAGACACACAGACACACACACAAACACAGAGACACAGACACAAACACACAGAGACACACAGACACATACACACAGACACACAGACACAGAGACACAGAGACACAGACACACAGACACACACACAAACACAGAGACACAGACACAAACACACAGAGACACACAGACACATAGACACACAGACACACAGAGACACAGACACACAGACACACATACACACAGATACACACACACACACACAGACACACACACACAAAGACACACAGACACACAGATACACAGACACACATACACACAGACACATCCACACAAACACACAGACACACAGACACACACACAGACACACACAGACACACACACAGACACACAGAGACACAGACACACAGATACACAGACACATACACACAGACACACAGAGACACAGAGACACAGACACACAGGCACGCAGACACACAAACACACAGAGACACAGACACAGGCACGTGGAGCAGGGCGGACAGCATCGCCTGCTGACGGGAGCCGTTGCAATGCTGTTAGTGAGCGCCTATTAAGGCCAAAATCACGACCCGGTCAACCTTTGTCTCCCAAGTGCTTATGGGGTTTTGTTTTACACACCGCGCCGGCTGCTTATTTGAGGTTCTGTCGATCACCTTGATACCGGAAAAAAAGGATCCCATATGCAGGTTGAGAGTTTGCTCATCTTTGATGTCGATCATGACAGGAACTCAGGTTACCGGGTTTGTAGTGCAGTGCAGTAAGCAATAAACCACCGCTCCTGCACAGTACGCGAACATATACACACACAGGTAGGTGTGCACACAGAGGCACGTACACACACGGGTGCAGGTGCGCAAACGCAGTGACGCAAACGCTTTCAAAATAGTTGACGGCTCCCTCCCTGAACCTAAATTTACCCAAATTCGCCCATGCTTCAAGGTCAAATCCACCCCAAAGATTTAAAACCGCTCGCGCGTGCGCGTGCACCAATCGCCCATTCATCACCGGCTGCATGCAGACACTAATGCACTCCCACACTCACATTACCGCACACACTCGCTCATAGGCACACACACACACACACGTTTGGTCATATACACACGCACACACACTCGCTCATAGACACACGCACACTCTCGCACGTAGACACACGCGCACTCGCTCATAGACACCCTCACACAACAACAACAACAACCGCCATTCGCCACTAAGTGGCGGTGACGTCACCACGACGCTTGTGCCAGGCTATGTGCACCCTGAGGCCACGTGAAGTGTCGAACGCCCGCTGGCAGGAGGTCACGGGGCAGACCCAGGTGCCACGGGTCGACTGACTGAGATGACTGGCTGATGCACCACCTGTGCCCCCTACTGTGCCAACCTGCTGTGCTTTAGCCACCCGGCGCTCCGCTCGCTGTTGTGAGCGTCGCTCCTCCGCCCTCCGTTGTTGTTGGAGGGCGACTGCCTCCAACTGCCCAGTAGCATCCTTCACGAGCCTCCTCCACAGAGGCCGATCTTGACACCGCTGGTACCAGTCATCGGCAAGTCCACTCAGCTCCACGTCCTCCTGTACCACATCACTCCATCTCTTCTCTAGCCCGTGCCGCGCCCGCTTAGCCCCCTCAATCCGGCCAAACAAAAGCTGTTTCGGCATGCGGTGGCTGGGCATGCGGGCTACATGACCCAGCCATCGCAGCCTTGCCTGCCGGAGGAGCTCACCGATGGGACCCTGCCCAGATCTTTCAAGGATTTGTGAGCTCCTCACACAATCCAGTCTGGTTAAACCCAGGATGGATCGTAGGCAGGCCAGCCTAAATGTTTCTAACCGGCGAAGATGTTCCATTAGGGGGGTCCACGTTTCGCAAGCATAGAGAAGGGAGGGAATGACCGTGGCCGAGAAGACCTGAAGCTTAGTGCGGAGCGACAGACCAGGTAGCTTCCACACAGCGTTATGCAACCGATGAAAAGATATTGCCGCTCGACTGATTCGGAGTGAGACCTCTGCTGTTAAACTGGAGCCAGTCATAAGCACACTGCCCAGGTATGGGAAACTCTCCACTCTCTCCACAACTGCCCCATCACCGATTGGGAGTTGTGGGGGTGGAGTGTCCGATGGTACAAAATACCCAGGCAGGTGCTTAGTTTTGGTGGGGCTGATGGTAAGGCCCCACCTCTTAGTGGCATGCTCCAGTCTCAGCAGCAGCGTCTCCAACTCCTCCTCTGACTGAGCAGCTATTACCAAGTCATCAGCATACATAACGTGGTTGAGCAATAGGGAGCCATCCCTTGACCGCACCCGGGCATCGATTAGCCTCCCATTATATCTGTACCATATGGAGATTCCCCCGGTACAGCTATTGAAGGCTTCACGAACTACGTGGTCAAAATAGATGTTAAATAATGTGGGAGCCAAAGGACATCCCTGTCGCACCCCAAGGTGTACAGGGAATGGCTCTGACTCCCGGCCACGTAGTTTTACCCGGGCCCGCTCACCATCATGAAGGTCCTTAATGATCGTGAGCAGAGGGTCAGGTACTCCAAAAGCGCGAAGAACGACCCAGAGCCCAGGCCTACTGATGGTATCATAGGCCTTGACCAGGTCAATAAAGCAGAGATGTAGGTCTTGTTGGAATTCCCTACACCTCTGCTGTAGCAGACGGACAGAAAATATGGCATCTGTGCAGGACCGCCCTTTCCTGAAACCGCATTGGGGCTCCGCAAGCCTCTCCTCAGCGTGCCTGGCAAGGCGATGCTGAATAATCCTTGCCAGGACCTTTCCCGGCACACTGAGGAGTGAGATGCCCCTGTAGTTGTTACAGTCTGTGCGGTCCCCCTTCTTAAAAAGGGGGACCACCAGGGCATCCTTCCAATCCTGCGGAACCCGTCCAGTGGTCCAGACTGTTGTTATGATGTCATATAGGGCAGTCTGTGCACAAACGCCACCCTCCCTCAGCATTTCGCTTGGGAGATCATCTCTGCCCGCTGCCTTTCCTGGTCTCAGACTCCGGATCGCCTTCAATACTTCCTCAGCAGATGGCACCTCAGCCAGCCACTCACAGGGGGTGACTTCATCCAATATTTGAGGCACCGCAGCCTCAGCAGGGTCATCCTCACTTTGTGCCGCGATGTTTTCCTGGCTGAGGGATTTTCCCTCCCCCAGGACCTCACAGAAATGCTCAGCAAATCTGCGAACCTGTTCCTGGGGGTCGGAAATTGGATCACCGTTTTTTCCCCTAATGATGGTAATAGGTGTGGCGCTGCAGGTTACTTTTTTGATGGAGTTAAATAGAGATTTGTGATCACGGGCCACTGAGGCAGACTCCATCTCCTCAGCAACCCGCGACCACCACCCATCCTTGCAGCGCCTCACGGCTCTCCGAACCTCCGAGCGAAGGCTGCGGTAAGCCTCCTCATTCTCTGACGTGGGATTCTGTAGCCGATGACAGTGGGCCTGTCGCTTTTTCTCAACCATCCTGAACAACTCCTCTGTCATCCAGGGTGTCTGGGGAGGTCTGGACCGCGTACCCAAAGCAGCCATTGCAGCTGCATGAGTCACAGTCCTAAACCTCGCCCATTTACCCTCGACATCAGGAGGAGTCGGGGACGATGCCAATCCCAGCTGCAAGCGATGATGAAATTCTCGCTTGCAACTTTCATCAGATAACTGAGACCAGGCCACTTTAGGTTGGAATGGGGTCCTGGGTGTACACCCACCACCGGAGTGGAAGAATGGCAGGCGCATCTTACAGATGACTAGTCGATGGTCAGAGGGCAGATCAGCTCCACGGTAGGTCCTGGTGTCAAGGACATGGGCTCGCATTCGCTGGTCCGTCACTATGTAGTCCAGCAGATGTTCTTGCTTGGACCCGGCATGCATCCATGATGTTGTGTGGATGCGCCGATGCCGGAACAGCGTGTTGGTAATTACAAGCCCATGGGCTGCACAAAAATCTAGCAGCCTCCTACCGTTGTTATTGAGCTGATCTGGCCCATGCCCTCCAATCACTCCAGACCAGGTGCCAGTATCATGACCAACTCGGGCATTGAAGTCACCCAACATGATGACTCTATCCCGAGGGGCCACTTTAGCCAGCACCTGTGACAGGAGGTCATAGAAGGCATCTGACTCATCGGCTTTGCCTGCATCCCTCCACGGATGTTCATCTTCGGTGGGGGCATAAGTAACCACGACCACCATTCCTCGCCTCCGGTTGATGGGAAGGCGAGCCCAAAGTAGCCTGGGGCTTACAGCTTCCCACACCTCACCGCCACGCTCCCACGCCCCCTTCATTCTTTTGTTCAAAAGAAGACCCACACCCTGTTG